CTAATACTTATCGGAAACAAGCAAATGATTTTATTTTGGTACAAAAAACAACAAAACAGAATTTACAGTATTATGGAAAGCAAACGTTGGAAACTAGGAAAATGAAGCCCCCTTGTGGATACACAGATCAGCTGTGCCTGGAACCCGTGTCATGCGTGACACAAAAGGGCTCCGGGTCCAATGCAAAGGGCTTGCCCAGGTGGTCCGACCAGTTTTCAGGACAGAGAGGCTCCCACACTACAGAACAGAACAGCTGAAACCAGCCCGGTGCTTCCGGAGAAAGAAATGCTCCTGAGATGCTGGGACGGGGCGGTCAGCATCCAGATCACTGCTTATAACTCCCACCCGGGGCCTGTGGTGCTCCCAGCTCTGCCCCTCACTCCCCCTCCCACGTCTCCTCCCAGGTGAACTGCGGGCAGCCCTTTCCATCCTCTGCCCTCCTCAGCTCTGATGGCAGGTAGGGAAGGTGGGGGATCATGCAGGGAATCTGAGGGCCTCGAGGAAATGCCTGAGACAGTGTCTGTCCACCCGCCCCTGGCTGAACCAATTATCACAGAGTCCTCATGAGTGTGTGTTTAGAACCTGTTTCTGCCACTGCGTAACTTGGCTGTTTTGAGCAAGTCGACCTCTGGAGTCTTAATTCTCTCTCCTTTAAAATGAGAACAAGAGTCCAGCGGGCATGGCTCAGTGGTTGAACGTCGACCTGTGACTCAGGAGGTCAAGGTTTGACTCCCTGTCAGGGCACATGCCCAGGTTGTGGTCTCAATTCCCAGTGTGGGGCGTGCAGGAGGCAGCCGATCCATGACTCTCTTTCATCATTGATGTTTCTCTCTCTCTCCCTCTCCCTTCCTCTCTGAAATCAATGGAAGATATCCTCCTATATAATAAATGCCTAATATGCAAATTGTCCCCTCGACCGGGAGTTTGACCACTCACTATGACATGCACTGACCACCACGGGGCGGTGTGGAACATGGTGGGCGTTGGTGATGAGGCACTGGCAGCAGGTGGCAGTGGAGGTGCTGCCAGCCCCAGTGGGCTTCTGGGTGAGCCAGGCTGCAGCCGCCAGGACTGCAGGGGCTGGTTGGCTCCACGTGGGTTTGTGCAGGAGCCGTTCTGCGAGGCTGGCCAGGAAAGAGCACGTTGCCCACCCGGCTTCCATGTGGCTCCGCTGGGTGGCCCAGAGGCCCACGCTGCACCCTGGCCCACGGCATCTGGTCGCGCTCACCGCATCTCTGCATGGGGACTCGGGCGCCATGACTCAGGCAGAGGGGCGTGCAGGGGCCCAGGTGCTGCCCAGGGCCCAGAAGTCAGCTAGGACCTGCCCTTTCATGCCAGACGCTCGTGCTTCAATCGCCGGCTAGGCCTAGGGACTACACCTGTGCATGCATTTCATGCACTGGGCCTCTAGTATATATATAATTATATATACACTAGAGGCCCGGTGCACAAAAATTTGTGCACTTGGGGGGGGTCAGCCGATCCATGACTCTCTTTCATCATTGATGTTTCTCTCTCTCTCCCTCTCCCTTCCTCTCTGAAATCAATGGAAGATATCCTCCTATATAATAAATGCCTAATATGCAAATTGTCCCCTCGACCGGGAGTTTGACCACTCACTATGACATGCACTGACCACCACGGGGCGGTGTGGAACATGGTGGGCGTTGGCGATGAGGCACTGGCAGCAGGGGGCAGTGGAGGTGCTGCCAGCCCCAGTGGGCTTCTGGGTGAGCCAGGCTGCAGCCGCCAGGACTGCAGGGGCTGGTTGGCTCCACGTGGGTTTGTGCAGAAGCCGTTCTGCGAGGCTGGCCAGGAAAGAGCACGTTGCCCACCCGGCTTCCATGTGGCTCCGCTGGGTGGCCCAGAGGCCCACGCTGCACCCTGGCCCACGGCATCTGGTCGCGCTCACCGCATCTCTGCATGGGGACTCGGGCGCCATGACTCAGGCAGAGGGGCGTGCAGGGGCCCAGGTGCTGCCCAGGGCCCAGAAGTCAGCTAGGACCTGCCCTTTCATGCCAGACGCTCGTGCTTCAATCGCCGGCTAGGCCTAGGGACTACACCTGTGCATGCATTTCATGCACTGGGCCTCTAGTATATATATAATTATATATACATATGTAATTATATCCTACATAATAAAAGCCTAATATGCTAAGTGTCCAGTCTTGGTCATCTGTTCAACCAATCAAAGTGTAATATGCTAATGATATGCTAAAGCTCCTCAACCGCTCGCTATGACGTGCACTGACCACCGGGGACAGGCGCTCTGACCTGTAGGTTAGTTTGCTGCTGGGGTCTGGCAGATCAGGACTGAGCGAGATGGGTTGGACACGCCCTGGAGCCCTCCCACGATCCCTCCCTGGCTGGCTAACCTCCTGAGTCCCTCCCCAGCCCCGATGGTGTACTGGTAGGCTCCCTTGGCCTGGCCTGCACCCTATTGAGTGCACGAATTTCATGCACCGGGCCTCTAGTATATATATAATTAGCAACCTGCTACCCTATGTTCTCTGTTTTCTACTTTTTCTCTTTATCATTTGATCACTATATGTCATATTATATATTCACTTATTTACCTAGTTAGCCTTCAAGAATGGAATGCAGGTTTTTAAATCTCATTTAAAAATTAACAATATAAGTAATAAACATCAGAAGTTGGGAAAGGAAAATGGGAAAGTTGTAGAAGTATATTAATTATATCATTGTGCATAGTGAATAGCTAATTATCTGTATCATAAAAGGCCTGTGGTTGTGACACTCTAACAGCGTCATGACCAAACGAGCCTTGACTCTTGTGGTGGGCAGGGTGGGGCGCCAGCTACTCGCAGTGGAGAGCTACTAGCGGTGGAGAACTACTAGCGGCAGCCGGCAGGGTGCAAGCTATGAGCAGTGATGGGTGGGGTGGCCAGCTGAGGCAAGTGGAAGTGAGCTACTCGCACACAATTTCGTGCACACTAGGCCTCTAGTCCTATCTAATAATAGACAAACAGGGTAATTGACCGTACCTTCGCTACACTTCCCATTGGCTAATCAGCAAGATATACAAATTAACTGCCAACAAAGATGGCGGTTAATTTGCATATGTAGGCGGGAAGCAGCAGAGCGAAGACTGAAGGCAGCTCCGGTGGGAGCAGCGATCAAAGCGGTTCCCGCCAGAGCAGCGAAGGCTTTGAAGGCGGCTCTGGCCGGAGCGAAGGCCTGGGTCCCGGGTGCCCTAGGAAAACCGGTGCAGGCAGCCAGGGGAAGGGAATTAAATAAAAGTCTAGTATTAAATAAAAGTCTAACCACCAGAAAAATTGAAACAAACTGCTAAGGGTGGTTAGCTCTGGAAAGTCAGCATAGGATGAGAGGAGAGAGTGATTTTAGTTTTTCATCTCTGGTTCTTACGATTTTTTGGAAGAGGCAGTCATTTTGCAACTTTAAAAATAATGTTATTCAGCCTACTTTTTTAAACATCAGTTTATTGAAGTGTAATTTACATGCCTTAAAATTAACCATTTTAATATACAGTTTAAACCTGCAGAAGGTCAGATGCACAAATATGTCATGTACCCATAATCAAAATTACGATCCTTCATACTCAATTTCCTCCTTCATAGTCACCTATTCCCCCTACCCAACCTCTTGACAATTAGTGATCTGTTATTTCATCTTTTTTTACTTTTAATTTGTCTTTTATTTAATGTGGGTTTCTTATAGCCAGAATATAAATGAGTCTTCTTAATTCTTATCCATTCTGATCATCCTTATCTTTTAATTGGTGAGTTTACTTAATACATTTAATGTAATGATTGATACATCTGAATTAAAATCTATTAGTTGTTTTCTAATTGTTTCATTTGTCTTTTGTTCTTTTCTTTAATTCTGCCTATTTTCTGATCGACTATTTTTTAATAATTCCATTTTGTCTCTTGTTATTTAGCTTGTTAGTTTTTTAAAAATTATTTTTAATGGTTACCTGCAAATTTTAATTTAATTTTTAAAAGTCTTAATTCAAAATGTCAAGAAATGCATAGAAAGGAAATCTAATATCAAAATGCTGGGTGGAGCATTGGGTTTGAATGAGTTTCCCCTATTTTTCTGTATGTTATTTCTAACTCCCCACGTGAATGATGTCTGATTTTTTTTTTTTTTCTTAATGGAAAGAGATGGAGAGGGAAACTAACTCCCATGAATGATGTCTGATTTTTTTTTTTCTTAATGGAAAGAGATGGAGAGGGAAAGAATAAAAGAAACTGGGCATCTTTGTGGAAGATGTCCTAGGGGAAATAAGATAAGAGTTAAAGAAAAATGTTTGATAAATCATAAAGTACTAGAGGTCGCTTTGTGGATTGATATAGAAAGTAAGATCATGTCTCTCTGCCATAAAAATGAATGATGTCTGATTTTTTTTTTTCTTAATGGAAAGAGATGGAGAGGGAAAGAATAAAAGAAACTGGGCATCTTTGTGGAAGATGTCCTAGGGGAAATAAGATAAGAGTTAAAGAAAAATGTTTGATAAATCATAAAGTACTAGAGGTCGCTTTGTGGATTGATATAGAAAGTAAGATCATGTCTCTCTGCCATAAAATATATTGTAGCTATTTTTCAGGGACTTAGCTATTTTTGTTTTGAGCAAGAGAGATGATTTTCATTGACTTGGTAGAACCAATCAGCCATCTATCTGAAACTTTCCTGACAATTTGGAAAAGCCAAACCTACAGAATGTCAGTTGCACACCACCTTAATTAAATTCTCTTCCAGGAGAGAACAGATGTGCTATTAGTGTAGCCTTTAGGAAACTGTAGGATCTTTGTTAGATGAATCCTATTATAGTTATAAAACTCAAAATATGTACAAGTGGATATTTTAGAAAATGTATAGACTATTTTCTCTTAATAGAAGAGGAACAGTAAAAAAAATCTAACTTTGAATTTTGTCACAAAACCTTATCTCATTCATTAAAATTGGTTTTTATATCTACTTTGTAATTGATCTGTGACTTTTTGTTTCCTTTGTAGCTATTCAAAGGTTTTGTGCATAGCATTTGAGGTACTCCAGGGCTTGCAGTATATGAACAAACATGGGATAGTACATCGGGCGCTGTCTCCTCATAATATCCTTTTGGACCGAAAGGTAATTGCCAAATAATACATTAAATGTTTGTTTATTATTTGAGGTTGGAAGCTACTGAAATCAAGCCCACTCAGTTAATCAGATAATAGGGTAAGAATATGTTTTAAGATTATTCATAACAAAAAGACTGTGTGAAAGTTATTGATACATCTGTGGTGTTAGAAAAAAGCATATGTAATTAAATTATATAAGTCCATGTGTTTTTCACATGCATTATTCTTTTCCCCCCAAAAGTCAGTTTCTGACATCCGTTTTGTTTTCTCTTCCATTCATTTCCTAAAAATATATGCATTGTAGCTTCTTGATCCACACCTGCTCTGAATTTGCTTTCATCTTAAGAAAACCTCTCAATTTACATATTTTTCTCATAGTACAATTGCATTGTATTTTCTCCTCTTTATTTTTCCCCCCATTTTCTCTTCTATATTTTACTCTCCATTTACCACTTGTTCACACCTAGCTCCCTTGTTTTGGAGTGCTGCTTCTCTACTTGCAAATCTAATGGGTGATTAGTAAGAAGCTAGTCAACCCTTCTAAGAGAATTATGGGTAGCAAGAATGATGTATGTTCAGGAATAATCATAATTTCATTCTTTTTCATAAGCATATGAAAATAGTTTTGAAGGAATATTTTCTGGGGAATTATTTTCTGTTAGTAGGATTACTCTTTTTCCCAGTTTCTCTTCCAGACTTTCAGTACAGTTACCCTATGATATTAAAAATAACAAAAGAGAATATGGTACTTATGGATTTCATGTTTATAGCAGTAAAGTATCTAACCAATCTGAATTTCTATAAATTATAAACATTTTGTAAGGCTTAGAAATAAAGTTCTGAGATAAAGGAAACTACCCAATTTTGAAATCTACTTAATTTTTTTAGTGTTAAATATATAAAAGGGGAAAATTTAAGGGACTTATAAAATATATTTGCCTTTTATTAAGAACCTCAATTTTGTGATAATTATGACTGTTCTCAAGCAAATAAAAAATGGTTGGAAATATAGAAGATTCAATAATATTTGATGATTTCAGACCTGATGTTTTCAAGTTAAGAACTCTCATGTCAGAGTTAAATTATAATGTTATTAATGGACTTGCAACATCCTGAAAAAAATATTTTGTGAAAATTACCCTAAAATATTCTAAGTAGGCATTCAAGGCAAACAAGAAGACTTGCTTTTTTGCTTTGTCAGAAAGCCTGGAAAGTAAAAATAGCAAAAAGTGTTTATGTTTGTGTATGTATATACATACATATATGTGTGCATATACATACATATAAATGTATATTTACATACATACAGTATGTTTGTAATAAGTGTAAAGTAGACTAAACATTGGCAAGTAGGTTTTTAATAAAATTGTGGTAAATTTATATATATATATTATAATGTATCTGACTATATAATTGTTCCTATACTTATAAAATGTATAATGATATTTTTCCTGCTAATATTAAAATGTTTCATAGTTATTTATTTCCTTTATTTTTGTAGGGACATGTTAAATTGGCTAAATTTGGACTTTATCACATGACAGCTCATGGTGATGATGTTGATTTTCCAATTGGGTAAGAATATGTTTTCTTTTTTTAGTTCTGTCTTAAAATTTGTAATCTTTGTTATAGCTTTTCTTTATTAACATACCTTACTTTTTTCAAATACTTTTAAAAGAGTAGACAATGACTTTTTCCAGCATCCAAAAGTTCCCTGATATTGATCTTTCATTGAATTGGCAGAGAGGCTAACAGATTATTGACCTTGTTTACCTTATATTTTTACTAATTAATTTTATTTCATTCAGAATTAGGTAAATGTGAGGCAAGAATCCTGACCAGATTTTCACTTAATGATTTTCACTTAATGTGTGTTCCTCAAAAGACTGAGAAAAATCACTCTCATATTATTTTTCTTTGTTTCTGAGTTTAATTCCCTGTTTTTAATATGTAATTGCATATTAAGATTCTAGCTTAGTCTTTGTATTATTTCAGAGGTAATATTAGGGGTAGCGTCTATAACTGAAAGTCTGTGTTTAAGTTTGAGTGATCCCTTCTAGTATAGAAATCCAGGTTTATGCAGGCTTCTAAGAAAAGAATGAAAGTTTTTTCATCCTGTATTCAAAGGTGTGCTTTTGACATAGATCTTAGTGTTATATTTATTGTGTAGTGGCTTTTTAAACATTTTAAAAATATAATTTTTCAGTGTTTAAAATTGATATTATTTAAGATACATAGAAGTTATAAACTAGTACAAGGAATTCCTATATATCCCTTACTCAGATGCCTCAAATATTAACATTTAACTACATTTGCTTTATCTTTTTATTTTCTCTTATACATATTTATGTATGTGTGTATAAATATAGTTTTTAATCATTTAAGTGTAATTAGTGCATAAAATGGCATTTACACCTAAATACTTTAGCTTCTATTTTCTAAAGTAAGATATTTTTGTACATCCCACAAACTAATTATCAAAACCAGGAAATTAAAATTGATATAATACCATTTCATAATCTAGGGACCTTTATCATGCTTTTCAGTTGTTGTGTGGTGTTTTTAATAGTATCTATTTGTGTTTTGCTGTTTGGAATCTCTAAAATCACTCCATCACTGAGAATTGTGTATCAGAGTAATGGAGTGTGATTCTGCTTAAAAAATTAATTAGATAATTTTTAAAAGGTCTCATTTATAAATTACCCTTATATCTTTAAAATTTAAATTGTAGATTTCTTACTTAAATTTTTCATTTGTTAGGACATAGCCAATCTTGAAATAAACTGTTTAGTCATTCTTTCCTTTGTTTATTAAGAAAATATTTATTGAGAACCTTCTCTTCTGGCCGCTGATAGATAAAAATCAGTAAAAATAGGTTCCTATCCTCAAGAGGCTCATGGTCTATTGGGAATTTTTTTTGTTTTGATGGCCTACTTATTAAGATGCATAAATTCATAATTTTGAACTTTTGCATTTCAAAACTTGTGGTCATAGGCAACAAATAATTGTTGTTACAAACACTAAAACTTATTTTGTAAAAATAGCCTACACTTTCCCTAGCAGGTTTGGCTCAGTGGATAGAGCATCGACCTGGGGACTGAAAGGTCCTGGGTTCGATTCTGGTCAAGGGCACATGCCCAGGTTGTGGGCTCAATCCCCAGTAGGAGGTTTGCAGGAGGCAACCAATCAATGATTCTCCGTCATCATTGATATTTCTATCTCTCTCTCCCTCTCCCTTCCTCTCTGAAATCAATAATAAAATAAAATAAAATAGCCTGTACTATGTTTTTTTAAAAAAACATTTAACTATAATAAAAAAAATACATTCACTATAAAGCTCTACCTAGTACCTTCATTATATGTGATAATTATATTTTGAAGTACTTTTAAAGAGCTGTAACAAATGTGATTCCTTCTGCTTCTTCATTTTGTTTGAATCAGTTTGGCATGAGAGAGAATTCCAAAAGTATAACATAAACCAAAATTAATTTGTTACCTTTTACTTAAAGGTGCTTTAGGTTATAATGATGAATACAAAAAAAGAAGTGATTTTTCTTAAAGTACATCAAGCATTTTTGAACTACTTTTGAATCTAAAATACTTGGATAGAATTGGTCTTATGTTGCCATTTGGTCTTGCTTACTTTGAAGTCTTAGACCCAAAGGGTCTGAACAGAAAGTATCAAAGAGCAAAATGTGAAACATTAGCCAGGAAAAATAAAGTGATCAAAAAGCTAAGGCATGAAAGAAAATATTTACACCAGAAGAAGCTTACAGTTGATTCAAAAGACAAATATTAAGGAACAACAAAGTAAAATGTTAACATCTGTTTCAAAATATTATAGAGTTAAAAATTGGACATTCATTTTAGTGGGGCAGTAGCTTAATACCTTGTTAAAACTTCAAACAGATGATGAAAGTCACTTAATATTTACCTCACCAGCCATATAGCAAGGTTCTGCTAATTTTCTCTGTGTGTTAAAATACTATGTTAAAGAAGCAGTACTTGTTAAAAGGAGATAATCTACATTAAAGAAGAACTTTAGGGCTTATTGTTTTCATTGATTAATTTAATCATCCTTGATTGGAGCAAGGACCACCTCTATGCTTCCAGAGATCACCAGTCAGAGTTTTAGGAATAGTAATCTTCTGTATATATATAAAAGCCTAATATGCAAAGTGTCCCCTTGGGCGTTTGACCGACCGAGAATTCGCTCGCTTGCTATGACATGCGCTGACCACCAGGGGGTGGCATGGAACAAAGGAAGGCCCCGGCCAGCAGCTGGCAGCCAGGGAAGGGAGGCCCGGGCTGGCAGCCACAAGGGACCCTACCCATGCACAAATTTTGTGCACTGGGCCTCTAGTTTACCTATATTGTTGCTAAACTTTTTACTATCCATACTATTATTTTTTGAGTTAGATGTGTTGGGAATAAGGATTAAAAATGACCAATTTGCCTTTTGGACATATTATGGTGATGATAAATATACAACATTACATTTGTGTCACATTCTTCATTTTTATTCGACACTAGAGGCCCAATACACAAAATTTTGGCAAGGGGCTCGGCCCCTGCCACCGCAGCAGCTACCTCTGCCTCAGCCCCTGCCTGCCACCACAGCCATCTCTGCCTTGGCCTCCTCTCCCCGCACCGCGGCTTCATCCGGAAGGTCGTCTGGAAAGACTTCCAGAAGGATGTCTGGTCTAATTAGCATATTATGGCTGTGTCTGCCGCGGAAAACTTCTGTCCTCTGGGGGGGTGCTAATCTAGCCTTTGCCTGAGGCGATCTGGCAAATGGCTCTGTGCAGGGCTTGGGTGGGGCGGGATCAACAGGGCAGGGCGGGCGGAGGGAGCGGTTATGGCCCCTCTCAGTCCCGTTCCCAGAGGCTCTGCTTCTCAGAACCCCAGGAACCGCTGCAAACCTCGGAGGGAAAGCTGCCTTCCAACTGATGCCAGACACTCCCGCTTCTCCCGTTTGGGTCCGAGTCCCCAGCGATTCGCCCGTATCTGGAGCTCAGAGTCTGAGACTCCCCCCTGACCGAAAACGACAACCGCGCTCTCAGCCACCAGCCCGCTTTGCGCGCGCACCTCCGCACCTGAGTTTTTTCCACACTGCGCCTCCTCTGAGCCTCGGTGTGCTGTTATTTTTCCTTCTAGTTGAAGAGTCTCTCCTCAGCCAGCCTTCCTGTGGTTCTGGGTGATGTCCGTTCCGTCTTTTAGTTGTATTTTTGAAGTGGTTGTTTGCGGCAGCAGTCTGCGGTGTTTACCTATGCCGCCATCTTGGTCTCTCCGAACACATGTATTATAATACCAAAGCTAGTGCTATTTCCACTAGACCTCAGTTGTTTCAGGAGATATCCCACATTCATTTAGAAAAGCAGTATGATATCTTAGGGTAAAATGCCATAAAACTTGTGTATGAGAGAAATACATGGACAAATTAAAAGAATATATTAATATCACCCTCATCATTGTATTAAAATGAAAAGGAATTAAAAAACCTAATTTGCCTATTTGAATTTAAGTTATACTTCATGACTTAATTAACTAGTATTTTACAAATAAACAAGAAGTATTGACAATCATAGTGTGAGGAGGTGGCTGTAGAAAAACACAGGAAGAGAAATGGAAGTAATAATTGAGTGCCTCCATTACATTTATTACATAGATGTTACATATACTTAAGTATATTTTGATTAATGTCATTATTGCAGGGTGGCGTACTAAGCTAATTTCATTGAATCAAAAAAATTAGATGGTTGTGCTCATGACTAAATCTGATAATAAATAAGCAAAATTCTGCAACAAATAGAGCAGAATTTTACTCCTTTTTCGTTTATATCCTAAAGCTATATTTGTTCCTTTCATGTCCAGGCAGTAGGATTCAAACTTAGCAATTGCCAATAGGTCTGATTCTTACGTATGATCTGCTTTTTAAATTGTTGTCTACTGACATTTTGATAAGAGATTAAGCAAAAAAAAAAGACATATATATATATATAAACACATAGACACAGATAACAGTGTGGTGATAGAGAGAGAGAGGGGTGGGAGTACATGGAGGTGGGCTAAGGGTTATAAATGGGGATGCAAAAAGACTTTGGGCTATGGGTGCACAATGTGTGCAGATATTTTGTTGAGTTGTACACTTGAAACCTGTATGGTTTTGTGAACCAATGGCATTCCAATAAATTCAATAAGAAAAATAAAATAAATATTTTTTTAGCAAAAATATACTAAGCATATCTTATATTTAAGTTTCGTTGGTAGTTGCTGAGGATTTGTAAAAATGTATGTTGTACCAGCGTCCTCAAGTAGTTTATTTAGATAGGAGGGTAAACTTTTGTATATTAATTATTATAAACATAAAAATGTATAATATTACATATTGCATATAGCCTATTACATAAAATATAGAACAAGTAAAATAAATAGCTGACACTCATGATGGACCCATAAGAAAGATACTAATAAAATACTATGGGGATCACTGAGAGGAGAAATAATTTCCATCTCAACAGACCTACTTCAGGTTTCATGGAATTTATCAGAAAAATAAAAATAGTATAAGTCTG